CTTTATTTCTGTATTGGGCTTGACCTTTTAACAAGTTCACTCAATATGATACTTAAATTTTATTATGTTTTGATTATTTCATTGATTCTTAGCTCAGCTTCCGCACAAAGTAAATATTTTCAACTGAATGTTAAATCTGGATAGCAGTTATCGTTATGATTTACCTGTGCCAGTAAACGCGTGTAGCAAAAAGAATACTTTTCTAAAAGTATTAAAAATTCATAATAGTATATTAACTTGAATAATAAAAAAAAACATCTTTAATTTTAAGCACTCGTTTACTGTGCCCAATTAGCTTCATGACAACCAATATTCGAATTTCTGGTCCTTAATAATAATTTATTACTCTAACAAATTTTTAAGTTTATTAAATTCATGTTCTTTAAATATTATAGATAGTAAGTAATTTTTATTAGTTTATAAAACCTTTCTTTACTTAATAATAAAATAAATTTTTTTTTGTTAATTTGCTAGTATGTAAGTGTAAAATAATTAATAAATATTTTAGGCTTAATCAACAAAATTATTTTGCAAATAAACTCTTTCCAATTTTTTTCTATAATTGCCAGTGCGTAAGTATTGAATTTATTAATTTTACCTTCATTTTCCACAACTCTTTTCGGAAAGAGAAGCAGAAGGTGAAGGTAACGTTGCAATTATTTTATGATAAGGCAAATTTATATTTAACAAAATATTTTTTATTTAATATAAAGTGGATCGAGCAATTGAAAGACACAGAGCAGAAAGATTAGCACGTCAAAAAAGGATGCCAGATAGTGATGGCGACAAACATTCAGCATTTTTAAAGGATTATTATTACTACAATGAATATCATAAAAGGTACGTGCATATAAGTGTATTTATTAAAGCAAGTTCATTAATTTTAATCGATTATAAATGTACTCAGAATCAATGATGACATTATAAAAGCAAACCCTCGAAATGCTCCAAACGAAAATCCAAGTATATAATATTCCATTTTTATAATTTATCCATGTGATTGTAAAAATGCCAATTCTATATCATTCTTTTCTATTAGAAATATGCATTGTTGGCGCGGGAATGGCTGGTATGTTATTTATCAATATATTACTGTTATATATTTATGAATGAATTTAATGAATTTAATCCTATATGTGTATTATAAGGCTTGTTCTCGGCCCTTCTTTTGAAAAAAGCTGGTATCGATGATATCACTATTCTTGAATATCAAGATCGTATCGGTGGACGTGTCCATACTCATTACTTTACTGATGATCCTGATGATGAAAGACGTTTATATGGCGAACTTGGCGCAATGAGATTATCTTACGTTCAAGATCGGCCAGAACTTAGTCCACATCAACTAGTCTTTGATACAATTGATTATCTGAATGAATATAATAAAAAGGATGATCCAGATAGAATTATCAAGCTTATTCCTTTTATTAATAGAAATCCAAAGTTAGTATAATATTTTAAACATATAATCAACCATCACTATAAATATATATTAATGCTTTAAATAAATTTAATCCTAATGCTTATATAAACGTCCATACAAAGTGCCTTGTATTACTTCAATAACAAAAAGGCACCATCCGGTGAAATCATGACTAATAATTACTCTGCAAGCGTTGGAGCAAACCAATTAGGATTACCTGATGAAATTCCAGATAATTATCTTAGTTTGTGGAGTGATGCATTACAACCTTTTTTTGACGAATTGGATGCAAATTTCACAAATGGTCTCATAAATTTAGAAAGTTATGATCATCATAGTGTCTATTCTTATTTAAGAGAAGTTATTCTCCCTAAAGCATTACCATCAAAATCTGCTGACTATGATGAAATTATTAGTGCTATTGAATTGCAAGAAGCAGGCACAGGCATGTAATTGTTTATTTTTTTTAAAACAATTGTTAAATAATTTTAATTATAAACAAATGTACTGTTACATACTAGGCGGATTTCATCATTATGGTTTTGTTGCTGTTGTCACTGAAGCATATGCTTTTAGCAATCCTAATTATGAGATAAGATGGAAAACTATTGATAAAGGAATGCAACGGTTACCTAATGCTTTTTTGCCAATGATCAAGAAGGAAAATATTAATTTGATATATAATAGTGAGGTTTATAAGCTGGAAAAAAAAAATAATAATAAAATTGAAGTGTATTGGAAAAATA